TTTCTTACTGCTACCTCTTGTATTTGCTTCATTAAATCTAATTTTTTTTTGACTGTTCTTTTTTAGCTTTTTTTATTATCTCTCTTGCTATTTATAAGAAAACTATCTCATTTGTTCTTGTCTAGTAAGCATTGTTATAATCCTATTCTCTCTATCTGACACTATATATGTTTTGCTAACTTTATTAAAAAAATGCTTATTATGTATATTGCTTAATGCCCAGTCTGCTCTTCTTATACAGATTGCTTTTATATTTCTTTTATATTCTTTAGACAAACTTTTATCTATTACTATATCTGTTCTTTTTTAGTATATTTTTCTATTTTATTATTGTGTATTGATTTGTCTATTTTGTATGACCACTTGCACATATTTGTTGTTGTTGCTTGATATTTTATATGACTTTTGTACAATATAAATAGATTTATTTTAGAGTCAGATAGCAATTTCTACAATTGTTATTTCAATGCTAAAATTTTTCTAAAAAACTTGTTTTCCTTTTATAACTGTTCTAATATTACTGTATTTGCTTTAGTTTTTAAGTTCGTTTAGTATACTTTTTGTTGCTGCTTCTTTTAGCTTAGTGCTATTTAAATGGTTTCTTATTAGTATTTATGAAAAACTCTGTTTTTCTTTCTTATCAATTTTGTGTTAAAATGATCGTCAGGAATAGTTTGATATTTTTTTTGATTCTAATGATTCTAATTTTATTTTTAGTTATTTATAATATACTTTATATATAATCTGCAAAATTTAATGACAATGATACTTGTAGAGAATTGGTTATTTGTCAGTATAGTAATTAATACTAATCTCTTAATATATTAAGCTAAAATAAGAATGTGAATTGTCTTTAAGTAAATTCACATGTCAATTGAAAACCAAAAAAAAAAATTGAATAAAAATTAACAGTATAGTATTCTAAACTCTTTTAAAAATTTATTACTTAATAAATAAAGTAGTTGTGCAAAGCTATCATACAAACAGAAAGGTGTAGGTCCCATAGCTTAGTGGTTAAGCTCCTATACTCTTCACAGTTAAGGTCAATAGTTCAAGTCTGACTAAAGGCAAAATTGAAAGATTTTAGTTTCTGTAACCTTATAAGGAGTCTGTAATTGAACATAAAGCCCTATGGTTAAAAAGTTTAAGTGCAGTACAATGATGGAAATAGAAATTTCTGGAAGGAGACCCAATTGTAAAGTAGAGACATTATGCATAAAAAGTGATTATTATAGAAGGTTACAGTTATAGAAGGATTGCACATATAAGTCCTTTAGACTAGATCAATACTAATATCCTTATACCTCCTAATATAGGCAGTACCAACATCTCTGTATCCAACTTGTGGGATACTTACTTGGAAGAATAATTAACAGATTGTGCAAATAAGTCTTAATTAGGATCCAAGGAGAGGATTTGATTGGAAGAGTAGTCTGATAAGTAACCAAAAACTGAAATAATGAGAGAAATGGTAAATACGAGGACAGACTGTGATAAAGGATTAGTCTAACTAAAATTGAAAACATCTCTAATACAGCTAAATAATCTAATTATAGAAGGGAAGATCTTGGAGATAGGCATATAACTTCCTTATGCAATATAAAAGTATCAAATTGGGTTCTGATTATACCTATATAGAAGTCTATAATAAACAAAACTAGGGATCAACCAACCAATGTGAGATAAGATCTGCAAGATAGTATGGCATCACTAAGATCAGTATAACTTTCTGGACATAACCAGAATTGTCCTACAGATATTGTCTAATAAGCTAAGAACTTGTAATACATGGTAATATGGTATTATTGGGGTCAGAAGAACTCCCTAGATATAATCAGAATTGTTCTGTTTGTAAGTGCAATAAGTTCCAATCTCTACCATAAAAAGAAGCACCACATTGGAGATTAAATGCAGCATTGAGTTACTATATGACGTTAAGACTTAGGGTATCTGCAGAAATAGTAATAGCAAGTTTGACTTGAGATATGGATTGATCAAAAAGACTAATGACATCAGCAAATCTGGCTTGAGATACAGATTTATTGCAGATCCTAGACCATTGTTAGAACACTTTAGAGGAATCAATAACAAGTAAACCAAAGATGAGAAGATCATAAGAATTAGACATACCCAAGTAAGACCAATTTGGAAGTGATACAGTGACGAAAAGGTGGGAAATGTGAAAAACAAAGTAATACTAGATATAGTTAAATTAGGAGGCAGAAGAAACAAGACTAGGTAAAATATATGAGTAAGACATATGAGTACAATTTACAGAAAACAGTACTTCTAGTATTTGGGATGTCATATTAAGTTCAGTAGGTATTCTTGTCTGTATAGTGGTTTAATATGTGCCATGATTGCAAGTAGTTGCCAAGGTAACTGCATGCAGGCATGTGATGAACATGCACTTAGATGCCATAAGGGTAACCAGATGAAGTTAGTAGTATTAAATTAGATATTATATAATATTAGTAATAATCGATCCTAAAAAATGTAACTATAAATTTGTACTATATCAAATTAAGACTAATAAAAACCAACTGGCATTGTTGCCAAAGTTAAAAAAAAAAAAAAAAATTATATAAACAGAAATAAAATTGATTCAATTAAATGAGTTCAAATATTTTTATTACAAGTTTTTATAAAAAGATAGATTATTTCAAATTTAATTAATTAATTATCTTTGTATGTATCAAAATTTAAAAATTTTTTGCTCTTGAATCAATTGCTGAAGATAGTAAGATACAACCATTATAGCTAATCAACTTGCATACATTTAATAGATGCATTTTCAAAGAAATTAATATTAATTAAATTAAATGCATTTTAAAAAATAAATAAATATTCATAAAGACCTGAACTCATTATACAATTTACAATCTTTAAACCAAAACTTTAATTCATGATTGATAGATCCCAAATTTAGGTGTTAAATCCGGGTAGCAAAATAAAGTGCTTTGAAACAAAAACGTTTCTTAATAGTACACATATTAATTATTTGACCAATTTGACTGATCAAATCAGTCAAATCGGTCAAGTGATCAGTTACACTGACCAATTTGACCAATTCGACCACGGTCAAATTGGTCAAATTGGTGTGTAACTGATCACTTGACCAATCGACCAGACGGACCAGACCAATGGCCATTCGACCAATGACCAGCAAATTTTTAGTCGACCACTGATCTTAACAACACTGATTACGTATAATCATCTGATTAAAATTAACTACTAATGCAAGTTAAAATTGTCCTAAATAAAGGGTTAATTTAATATATAATCTACATAATTTGCATTTTTGATATCTATATAACCTACTTGTTTTAACTGCATCAAAAAGGTAACCCTGAAACTCACTCCGCTTTAACCGACCACCTAAATAAGCATGTAATCCGGTAAAAAAAGTAAATAAAAGAATATAAATAATTTGTAAGATTAGTAAAATCAATAAACATAATGTTTTTGATTTTGCTAACGTCTGTAGATCTCCCACAAAAAATTAATTAAAAAATTTACCTATAACGTGACTTACTCCTAAACCTAAAGATCTAATTGGATAGAAATTCGTTCTGGCATAATTAAATAGAAAAAGATTTAACCGCAAAAATGTCGTTCCCGATGGATCGTCGGTACTGTTTCTGATATGGTAGAAAAAAAATTGACTCACATACCGTTTCTGACAGGGTTCCAAAAAAAGGCCTCTAAAATACCATATTACTATATGAAAAAAGCTAGGATTGGAGTTCGTTTTAGAACCCTATCAGGAACAGTACTCAAATAAACAATTTTTTAACACTCCATCAAGATCAAGATAACGCCTGTAGATCTCCCACAAAAAATTCGGTTCCGTTCATTTCACCAACAGTACAACCACCAACAGTCGTTTCATCGACATGGTAATTTCGTTAGGGTCAGGTTTAGAATTAGAGTTAAGGTTAGTGTAATTTATCCTTTAAACTGTTTTCCAGGCAAATTTGCCTGGAAATTTCATGATTGATCTGTGATTAAGCTACCATATATATATTGAATTGTAGTCGAAATAATAGTAGATACGTAGTTAAATTGACAGTTTAAGGGATAAAAAAAAGCTTGTCTATGAAATGTACTGTCGGTGAATCGTACTGAACTTGAATTGATTGAATTGATTTCGGTGGATCCAAAAAGTCAACCCTCTAACGTGACTTAATCCTAACCCTAAAGATTTCATTCACCTGATCTTTCGATCTAATTGGATAAAAATCACGAGGGGTAATTTGTTATGGGAGAGCTACCAACTATATCAAGATCGGTACTTTCGGTCCATCAGAAATAGTATTTTTGCGATTTAACCAGCAAGTATAACGATTATTATGAGTGCCATCAACGAAAAACCTGTCATCGGGCTTTCAATTTTATCTTGTACCGAACACAATCAATAATAAATCAAATAGATTGAGGGTGCCCCCAATGTGATTAGCTAGTAAACGAGATCATGTAATGAATTGAGGTCATTCTTACAGCAATTTTGCTGAAGGTTCATCTTAAATTTTAGCAAAAAACACAATTCTAGACCATCTTTTTTTCATTGTGATGACAAGCTTACTTGACCGTCCAAATTATGTTCCACCGATCTATTAATTTAGGTGCTTGAGAGCACCCTGAGTCCGGCACGAAGTATAATTGAAAGTCCGATAACAGGTTTTCCCTTGACAGCACTCATATAGGGATATAAAAATTCTTTGATGATTAAGTGTAAACGTTTTTATTATGTGGCTATAATAAATTACCCGGATAACTGGACGAGTAAAATCTCTAATTTGTTAAGATATTTAAATGCTAGGAACAGAGGATTTTTGAATATTTTGATTGAGTTTAACCATTTAAATGTCAACGATAATTGCACATGATTTGAGTCACTATGACTAAATAATTATGAAATTGTATCATAAGGTTGATTAGCAAATAATACTGTATTTAAATAGATTTCTCTCATTATTAAAGATTTTTCTTAAGCAAAAATGAATTTGATTCCACACGATCCGTCAGTTAATTTTACAGGAAACCAAATTTCAGCTTCAGATGTCGGATGGTTTTTTGTACATAACTATTACGCAACTCTTACAACTAGACCGTGCGATCTTTACTTGTATTATGGACGTAATAGCAGATTTACCCGAGGTGTTCAAGGAAGTGACTGTGTATCGCAAGTGGTTGGGCAACAAGTATGTATTGAATTTTGCAAACGACATCATATCACGTGATATTGGTTTTCCAAAGACATCTTGTTAATGCTAAATTTCGAAATAGGCCATAAAACAACTATTTTCACAACTTCATTTAGAAAATAGTCGCGCAGACATATCCTCCGTTGACACACAACCTTCTTCACACAGAGGATTGTTCGTTCAAGTGATTGGGTCGATCTATAACTATAATTCTCAGGAATATAAGACTATTGCCGCTGTTGACAGTAATCCTGAAGATGCAACGATAGGTGATTCTTCACCTGACAGCATTTCCAGCAAAAATAAGAAAAATCATTTTGTCCAAACATTTTTTCTTGTTCCTTGGGAAAATGGGTTTTATGTGTTGAATAGCGTTTTAAGATTTTTAAATTGAATTGTTTTTAAGATTGAAAGCTAATGATATACTTTATGGGCGAATTATTGTGTATAACACGGCAGATTATGAACTTTATAGTTATAAAAGTATTGCGATTTTTTTCTTTTTTGTTTCTTTGGAATATGTACAGTCGTGTAGTTCTATTGACTACTAGAAAGGAATTTACAAAGATCGAAACGATTAAGTTTAAGTGTTTCATCTAAAACGATCATTACTCAGACGTTAACAACGATCACCAAGTCGTTTTTCCTAACTTGGCGTGATCTCCAAGTATTTGTAGAATTGGCTCTGTTTAATAATGGTAATATGAAAGTTTCCCACTTCGTATCTCACTATCAAAACCATACATAGTTCTCCCCCTTCGTTTAAGAGCCAGTAATATTTCCATTACACCAACAGTTTTCCTTCGTTCATATTCGACATAAGAAACAACATCTCGAAGAACGTCGGTCAAAAAATTTTTTAAAGCACTACGTGCATTTTCATATATATCTGCAGATATTCGTTTTACACCACCACGACGAGCAAGTCTACGAATAGCCGGCTTCGTGATGCCTCTGATGTTCTCGCGTAAAAGTTTCTAAAAATCAACGGATTACTCGATTAAGTTAAATTTACGGCTGAGATTTCACATCATGATCAACGTAACACTACATAACAATTGTCATGATGCAGTAAAGTTATATTATGTATTCCCTTTTTTTTTGATAATCAAAAAATTGAAGCGCGTACTTACTCTGTGCCGTTGGGCGGAAACTTTTCCACCTTTGCCCAAACCTTTACCTAGACCCTTACGATCTTTACCACGTCCTTCGATAGCGACTTTGGGCATTTTGATATTTATGAATTTTTTATTTTTATGACTGTTTAGAGATTATCTTTTAACATTAAAGACAGGCGAACGTTCATAAAGTCTTCTCAACCTATATTAATAATATTTCGGTTAGCTTTTAACACGGGTTTTACAATAGATTAACTCTGAATATAAAAAATTTACGTATACAAAGTTCGTATTAAAATATAAAACGGTTTTGGAAAAAGTGGTATTGGGAAAGAAAAACAACGTGCTATTTATTTATCTTTTCTCTGTGTAATCAATCGACTATTATAGATCTTTGTGTAACATTATAACCATTTCAAATCTTTTCAAGTTTACTAGTGAAGTTCAACAATTGCTGTCTTTTAAAAAAACAGACCAAGAAATGAGATCGGATGTAATAAGTAAAAACGTTCAACCCCCCTAAAACTTTGTTATCCAAAATTTAAACCTTTATAACTAACTAATTGTTTTGTTGGTAAAAAAAAAATACGGCAATTCTATTGGCTGTAAAAAATATAAGGGTGAATCAGTAGAAATCAAGCAAATTGTTTTTATTGTTTTTTTAAACAAAAACTTGATCAAATTTAATAAAAATTTTTTTATAAGTTTGTAGAATTTATTTTAAAAAAAATTTTATTAAATTTGATTAATTTGTTGTTAAGTTATTGTTATTCAAAGTTTTAAAAAAAAATTTATTTAGAAAAAATTTGCTTGATTTCTACTGACTCAACCCCATATAATAAAAACTAATATTGCAATTTGTTTTTTTAAAAAAATAAGGGGGTTGGTTAATTCCCGTGACAATTAGCCAATCAAAATACATAATCTTTAATTAATATTACAGTACTAAAAACGAAAAAAAACTTCGTATAAAAAAGCTTACATACAATAAATATACGCAAAAAAAGCTTACTATTTATATTTAGAGAATAGATAGATGCGTGTAAAGTGGGTAAATGTGATATTTATTGTTAATAAACCCAACTCATTACATTAAATAATCGATAAAATATAACCCAAAACTAGGGCCGTTAATGGAGTATTCCAAACTATATTAAAACATATAAACCACTCCAGTTTTAAACTGGAGTGGTTTATATGTTTTAATATAGTTTGGAGTACTCCATTAACAACCCTACCCAAAACCTTAACTATTAATTTATGGTTAACAAATTCAAACAAATTACAATAAACGACCAAATTTAATCTTAAGTCCGGATCTTTTACTATTAAAGAGCTTGCGCTGCACAAATTAACAGTAAGAAATAAAAATTTATTTAAATCAAACGTAATAAAATAGTTTTAGACGACAACGTTTCCAGTTACCTTCACTATACAGTATAATTTGGTCTGGTCCAATAAACGGTAGCCATATATTGCCTTCTAAATAAAGTTCATAGGGATATTGATTATTACGGGTTATTTTTGCATAGTAAATATAGACGTTTGATCGAAACGAAAAATGGTTTTTGTGGTGATTTTTTATTGGTGAAACGTTGTGTTCCTTTAAGTATAATTAAAGGTAGAGTACACGTAGATCACTTGTCATATGACTTTAATTGTAAATTTTTTTATTTTAATATTTAAAAATATTTTCACTAACTTAACTGTTTTTAAACTTTTAAGCAAAGTTGTAAAGCAGATTTTTATGATTCTAATAATAATAAAATTATTAAATTCAGATTAAAATTTATTGAGATAGGTTTATTTAAAGATTTGGTATTATAAATTTATTATTATTATTATTATTTTGGTGTTAAGGTGAATTATAAATTTATTATAAAAATCATATAATACATAATTAATTAATCAATATATTATTATTAAGAATTTGGTCATTAAGACTTTTATAATATATAAAGTATAGTTTTTTTAAAATAATATATATTATAATTTTTTATTATAATAAATAAATCATTTTAATTTATATATTCTAAAAATTTAATAAAATTTTAATACATTTTTTAAAAATTTTATTTGTATTATATTTTTACTTATTATATAAATCTAAATTTATTATGCAAATTATATCATAAATAATCTACATATATTTTATTTTTATGTTATCTAAGTAATTAATTTACATTAGCCAATCAAATGAATGACCTCCTATAAAAAGAGAATTATGTTAAAAAATTAAATTAATCTAGTTTTATATAAGTAATATCATCATTTTTGATATATTATATTTTATAAAATAAATTAAAAAACTTATTAATACTATTAAATCTAATAACTATTATTTTAAACTATACTTTTTAGGATTATATATACTATAATATTAAGGTTTAAAAATAAATTTATTATATTTTAATTAAATATTTTTTTTTATTAATTTACAAATTTATAAAAAATATTTAAATTATATAGTTTTTAATTTATATTTTTTTTTTTTTTAAGGGATGTAATGACTTAGTAAAATAAATAAGTTGATAACTTTTCAAGTGATAAATTAGGAGTTCAAAACCTACTGACAGTAAAAAAAAATTTAAAAAAACTATCTATATAATATTGATATTATAAAAGGTAAGCAGTATTATAACAATAGTATTTTGTCAATTAGTTGGAATAAGATATCTATAACATGATTGCACTAGCATAACTGACAGATTATAAGGCATTTGCACAATATTGGAGTTATACAGAGAAATACAAACCAGCATTAGGCAATGCAAACTCAAGAAAGTTTTTTTGGTCATATAAATCTATGAACTGAGAAGCTGAAGCCTACTTGGAAAGTTTCAAATAAAGAAGTAATACAAATCTTTAACAGTACTACTGTAAAGTTTAGATTAAAAAAACAGATACTAATATAAAAGGAATTAGGCAAGCAAGAACCTCAGATAAGAAATACTACTAATCAAATTACTGAAAGTCTCAAATTAAAAAAAAAGAACCTTGAGAAGCAAATTTTGGGATATCAGAAACAGGTCATAGTTCTTTCAGGCTATCTGAATTGAGAGTCTGAGATTAGAAGCAGAAGTATACTATAAGTACTAGAAATATGCTATGAAGTTAGTACTAGAATCTGAGTAAACTCTACAAGAGCAAGCCTTGTTAACAAGAAACTAAATATGAATAATTAGTTAGCAGAAGGGCTCCTGAAGCTCTACAATCAGGTAATATATTCTAAAATATATAACAGTTTAACAGATGTACAGACAGAGAGATTAAGATTAGGTTATATAGCATTTCAGTATACAGAAGCTTATATACTATTTGTTAGTATAAGTATAGAGATTAAAATGTTTAAATAGGTAATCTTCTAGTAGATTACAGGTATGACAACTAGTATAAAACCTGTTGTATAGGCAGACTACTTAAAATAGACAACCAAAAGTTATATGTATGACTAGTTGTAGACTCACCTTATACAAATTATATAATTATAATTAAAATATAATAAAGAATAGTTGCTGATAACTATGCTCTTAGTAAAAGAAAAAAAGAAACTTTTTTTTTTATAAATGTGATGACCTAGTAAAGTGAATAGGTTGTCAACTTCCAAGTGGCAGGTCTAGAGTTTAAATTTCAGTAATGATGAAAATTTACAATTCTTTCTGTATTACATTTAACTATCTTCTATAATTAGTTAAAATTAAATATCTGTAACTCATGTTATATTAGCATAATTGGAAGGTTTAGGTAATTGTACAATATTGTATGAAGAAACACAAACTGGTACCAGGTGATATAAACTTAAGATAAGTCCTTAGGTCATGTAAATTACAGAAACCAGATAAGCTCACTTGAAAGATCCAAGTAGAGAAGTAACATGAACTTTTAATAGTGTTACTATAAAGACTAGATCTGTAAAACAGAGCTAAAACTTGTAAAACTAGACAAATATGCTGGTCTTTAAGAACAGACTAAATGAACCAACCAGGTTATCAGAATTTCTGGATTTCAGAAGAAAAGAATATATGTTGACAAACATGTAAACCAGAGGGCTTATCTTTTTAAACTATCTGAAATGACAGCTTGATAGAACTTAAATTGAATACCAAAGTAATAAGAATATATTGTAAAGTCAGTACTAGGGTTAATATGAACTCTATAAAGGCATAGTGGTTTAATGATATGCTCTAACTGCCAGTATTGATCTTAGCTATAGTAATACTAAATCAGTTGTAAAAATATAATATAGAAGATTCTGAAAGATTTAGTACAAGATTAAAGGTTTCAAAGAACTGCTTTAAAGACTTAGTGGCCATGGCATATTTTCATTGACATTGGCCAGGATTATTGGTAGACAGAGGTAAGTGGGTGGATACAAAAACTAGAGTAATTAAATAAGGAACCTACAAGCAGGTTCTAGATATAACAACTAGTATAGAACCTTTGATTAGACTACTTAAATTAGATAATAACTAAAGTTGTACAAATGGCTAGTTGTATACTCTTTTTATAGTTGCCTCCTGTAGTTGTAATTAGCTAAATATACTATTAATAAAATCCTGAGTCACAAATACTTATCTTAATATATTAAAAATAAAACTTTTTTATTATTATAGAAACTATATTTTGTTTATTAAGTAAAAATGTTTTTATATTATTTATATATAATATAAAATAGGAGTGTAGCGACTTAGTGAAGTGGATAAGTTGTCAACCTCCCAAGTGGTAGGTTGTGAGTTCAAAACCTACTGATAGTGAAAAAAAAAAATTTGAATAATCACTTATATAATACATAGACAGTATTACAGTGATGGCATTCTGTTGATTAGTTGGGATAGGATATCTGTAACTATAGTTGCATCAGCATAACTGGCAGGTCACAAGGCATCTGTATAACCTTAGTTATACAGAGAAATGCAAACCAGTACCAGGTAGTGCAAACCTAAAATAAGTCTTTGTGACTGTATAAATTCATAGAACTGAGAAACTGAAGCCCACTTGAAAAGACCCGAATAGAGAGGTAACACAGATTTTCGACAGTATCACTGTAAAGGCTAGATCTAGAAAACAGATACCAATATAAAGGAGCCAGACAGACAAGAACCTCAGGTGAG